GGACTTGGAATCATAGAATTTTGGTTAGAAGAGGTCTTGAAGATCATCAGGTCCAATCGTTCCCCCAGCACTGCCAGGTCACCACTAAAACGTGTCCCTAAGTACCACATCTCCATGGCTTTGAAACCCCTCCGGGGATGGGGACACATCACCACTTCCTTTGGCAGCCTCTTTCAGGCCTTGACAACCCTTTCAGGGATGAAATATTTTCCTAATATGGAACCTAAACCTCTCCTGGTGCAATCTGAGGTCAGTTCCTCTTATCCTACTGCTTCTTCCTGTGAGAGAAAAGACTGACCCCCACCTTGCTCCAGCCTCCTGTCAGGGAGTTGTAGAGAGTGAGAAGGTCACCCTTTTCTTTGGGCTAAAGGAGGCCAAAGAAAAGGCCTCCTTTTCTTTGAGCTAAACACCCCCGCATCCCTCAGCCGCTCATCGTAAGACTTGTGCTCTAGACCCTCTCCCAGCTTTGTTGTGCTTCTCTGGGCAACTTAAAAACATACAGTGACCAGTGACCTTGCTGCCAAAAGAGCTTTGCTGCATGGGTGTTTCGTCAAGAGCTTGGCTCTATCCTTTGGATTTTTTTTAGTGACCCAGGAGGAAGCAGGGCAAAACTCACATAGTCCCTCAAACCAATCTCCAAGCCACAGTTATTAATTTTTCCACACTGATCTCTTAGGAGTCTACAGAAACTGTGCACAGTATACAGTATAGATATTCCAGTCCAGAACCTGAGCAAATAAACTATTCCATTTAATCATTCTGCATGTCAAGAATTAAAGGGGAATTGCCACAACTGTGAAGTTCTTTTATTTCCAAGAATTTGTGGCTATCAAGCAATAGCACTTGTCACCTTTAATAGTGAATTAAAAAAGTTATGAACAGCATGCTCTTCTGTAAACCACTTTTCTCTGAAGCACTCCCAAAGGAATTAAAAAATAAACCAAATCAAGCAACAGGACTTAATCCTGAGTAGTGGCATGAAGTTTTACACGTGGTTATAATTAGCTGTTAATTTAAGACAAATGCTTCCTTAAGCTTAAATGATAAGCACTATAAGACAACAGGCTGCAATAACCATTGCTCACATTCTGTTTCCTACCCTGGGTTGCATTCCTGAATTATATAAATTTTCAAAATCCAAGTCAAGGAAGGAAAAAAAAAAAAATAAAAAAATCAGGGAAACAAAAACTCATTATGAAAAATGACCTGGGATAGTTCAATCAACTCTGAAGCATGTGTTAGTCCTGCAAACGTCCAGAGCTCCACTTCAGCTGGTGAAAGCATTGCAAGGTAGTGCCCACTGCATACCCACTGGATGCCCATTCACGACTGACTTACTGTCTAGTTCCTCTTATTATTTTCTTTTACCATATGCCAGTGACCAGTCCTCAAGCCAGAAGATTGCAGCCAATGAAACACTTGCTTGGCAGCATTGGCCACAAGGTCATGCAAAGATCAATAATGATTTTATTTACAGATCTGTGTAAAGGAAGACTGCAATTATTAGCCATTTACTTCTAATTGTAAATGATGTCAAAAGAAACACAAAACCAATGTAAAGACTCTACCATAAACTTTGCTTAACTTCTCATTTCAGATTGCTGCATGATTAAAGCAGTTATTTATAAGGCCACATTCAAAAATTAAAAAGATAGTAATTTTTCAATTGGAAGCTGAAGAAGAATCAACTGTCGTTATCCTGGGATGAGGAGAGAGACAAGGATCAAGCTTGTAGCCTTCCCCTTTGTTTCACTTCCAGATGGGACTGGAGGAAGGGAAACTCCACCTTTGGACCTCCACATCCTCAAAAAAACCTTCCATATACAGATATCTCCCCTTCATAAAACCGTGCAGTTGTTTTTCCATATTTCAGTGCAAGCCCGACCAGTCCTGTGTGCCAACCAAAGCCATTTCTGGCTGTAGTCAGAAGTTTGAGCAGTTCAGGTAATTTCCTCAGGCATGAGGAAATGCAGATGATTCTCATTGGCAAAATGGGACTCCAGTTCTGAGGTTGGATTGAGACCACGGTGAAATTCTGGCCTCCTCACCCACACATGTGTGAACTTATGGTGCAGCCATGCCAAGAGTGGACTGACCAATATGCAGTTTGCCAGCACCACCTACTGATGAAGATCCAGAACTGGAAGTGTTTGCAGCCAACACAGGGTGTACGATATTAAGGGTCATCAGGGTGTTCTAGGACTTTTACAAACTGGTGCAGTACTAGATGAGGTTTTGTTCTTGTAATTTATGTTTACCTGGTGCTTTAGCATCATCAGGAGCTTCCAAGTACTGGAAGATGTTGAGTGTGTTGAGGGTGGGTGGAAAAAGAAGCTCAAAACAACATAAAAAAATCTCAAATAAACCAACACTACACAGATAGACAGACACACACACACAGAAGGGATCTCTGGAGATCATCTCATCCAAACCCCCTACTCCAGCAGGGTCACCCACAGCAGGATCACATCCAGGTGGGTCTGGAATCTCTCCAGAGAAGAAGACTCCACAACTTCTCTGGGCAGCCTGCTCCAGGCTCCGCCACTCTCACTCCACAGAAGTTTCTCCTCCGGTTCAGGTGAAACCTCCTGGGTTCCAGTTTGTGCCCATTGCCCCTTGTCCTGTCACTGGGCACCACTGACAAGAGTCTGGCCCCAGCCTCTTGACCTCCATCCTTTAGCTCTTGCTCTGCATTGATCAGATCCCTGCTGAGTCTTCACTTCTCCAGGCTGAACAGCCCCAGGGCTCTCAGCCTGTCCTCGGCACAAAGATGCTCCAGGCCCCTCAGCATCTTCATAGCTTCTACTGGACTCTCTTCAGTAGTTCTTTGTCTGTCTTGAACTGGGGAGCCCAGAACTGCACCCAGGAGTCCAGAGGTGGCCTCGAGACTCTCCCTCAACCTTCTGGCCCCACTCTTCTTAATGCGTCCCATTTATGCACACCATTTGCCTTCTTGGTTACAAGAGCACACTGCTGGCTCACAGTTAACCTGGTTAACCAGGTCCTTCTCCATAGAGCTGCTTTCCAGCGGGTGAACCCCTCACCTGTCTGGTGCAGGGGGTTATTCCACCTCTACACTTGCCCTTGTTGAACTTCATGAGGTTCCCATCTGCCCAATTGTCCAACCTGACCAGGTCTTGCTGAAGGGCAAAACAGCTCTGGTGTGTCAGCCAGTCCTTCTCATTTTGTATGAGGAAACCGGCTGAGGGTTCACTCTGTCCCCTCTTCCAGGTCATCGATGAATATTTTGAACAAGACTGGACCAAGTTCTGACCTGTGGGGAACACTGTGAGCTACATGTCTCTAGCTAGACTCTGCTTGTTTGGCTCATAATGAGGGAGAAATTCATCCTCAAAGCTGACACTCCACTAAAGGATCTGAACCGAGTCTCAGAATTGAGCAACCAAGCCAACAGGACCACGGATTCACCCCCTCATACCTACACACAGGCTCCACAGGTGAGTGCTGGGCATAGAGCCTGCCCTTGCTCTTCCAGCCCTGAAGACATTTTGGAGGCATCAAAGCCTCTTTTGAATAATGTAGCCCAGCCTAAGAGTCCAAGACAAAGAAAGACTGGAGGGTTAGTTAGAAAATCTTCATGATCAAAGCAAGTGACCTGGGATTTTGCGTTTCCTCCCGGAGGAAGGTGTCCAGGCCTGTTTCAGTACTACTACAATGCTGAATGTAAGGCTGAAACTCCACGAGACAGCCTGGCAAGAGTGCACATGTCTATGGGGAGGCTGAGAGGGCAGCAGGCAGGCAGCCTGGTGCTGTTACGATGAAAAGGAAAGCAGTAGTTCAAACAATTACACGGGGAGATGTGCTCAGCTTTCTCAGAGAGCACAGCTTCTGGCAAACATGCCCTTGCTCACACGAGGAGTATTCAGCAACCTCGGGCAGTGGCAGGCCCACAGACTCAGCAGGAGCTTGTTTTGAGAGGATGGAGGTGGGGACTGACCAGTTTGCACCCTACTGCTGGTACTGCCATTATTTGGAGACCACGCTGGAGATGATATCAGCAGTGGTGTCAGTCCATAGACATCTGTGCATATAGACAGCAAATCTGCATCAGATAATGAACAATGCTTTCATTCCATAGGCTTGAAAGGAAGGTTTTTTTCCATGTTACAAAAAATAATTTTCCCCAAGCCTATGAAATAATAAGTGGTAACTTCTAACCTCCAATCCACACTCCTCATATACAGCAATACTTCAAAAAACCTGTAACTTCCATACAATGTAGAAGAACTGGTAATACAGCAGTGAAGATACTTGGCCACGCTCTCTAATCTGATTTATATCAATATCCCACAGCACTGGGATTTACATTTAAAATTGGTCTGACACACAATGGGACAGAAAAATACTTATGTAAGAGCTGTGGGTTGGCCTGGGCAAAATGAAATAAAAATTGTAGCTGTCAGGCAGCAGAGCAGGTATGGTGCTTGCTAAGCAACGCGGGGCTTTGTGGGAAGAAGGTGGAGAGAGCTTTTAAATGAGTTGTTCTCTGCTCCCCCGGTTCCTTCATGCCAACGCTGAGTGTGCTAGGAAGGGCACAGCAGCTTCCCACCACATTCCTCAGTGCACAATAGAGCTTCCTTGACTTCAGTTACTAGGGCTGCTCAGCCAAGAGGAGAAAGCCCTCTGAAAGAGGGGTTTGGATACCATCTGGTTGTCCCACATCACCACCACATTAGAGAAGAATGACCTGAGAGAGCCAAGCACACATAGCAGCCAAGGTAATAAACACAACCGGGGAAACTGGAACAAAGAGAGTGCCACTTAATTAATAAAAGCATTTTTCTCTCTCCTGGTCTGCAAAAAATTGGATCCGAAGAGTTTAG